TAGAATTAAAAATTTTATTTTAGTTTGCTTTGAAAAAGACTAAATTTTAAGCCATCAAAATGCAATAAACAATTAGAATTATTTATTAGTTTAGAACACTGATAATTCTGAAGAATTCGAAACAAGTACCTATTTTGAGCGGAAAACATCTAAATCGCATGCACCAAAAAGATCGGTAAACAACTTTAAAACTTACTTATTTAAAATGCCTAATTACACTGATATATTGAATTATATTTATATCAGTAGACAGCAACTTTAAAATGTGAAAAGTTTTTGTTTATTTTTTTGAGAAGTTTGAGACAGCAAATTGCTATTAGTTAAGTATGGTGAATTTTACTAGTTCTTTTATATGTTCTGTAGGAAAACATGAAGCTTTTTTAACATTTAAGAATTAGTAAATGATTTTTACTTAACGTAATAGTTATTTGAGATCTAAGGAATTAAAAGTGATTTTTAAGTTTAAAACCAGTTTTTTTCAAGGATAAAGTAAGCGTTTTAAAGTCCGAAAAATCTGATGAGACACCCAGCAAATCTGAAAGAAGAAAATCTGATAATACAGTTAGAACAGTCTCGAAGACTACAAGTAAGAATACTGAGGTCAAGAAACGTAAAATTGACGAAGATGATGATTTAAACAGTCAAAAATCAAACGAAAGAGGCGATAAAAGTGACTTGAATAGTCGTGAGTCCAGTGAGAAAAAAGATAAGGATAAAAAAGTGAGACTTACATTGCCCGAACGGAAGTCAAAAGAGGTATGTTAATTCTGGAACTACCTGCAAGAAGTTCTTTTATTGATAATTTACAATTCTGAGCAACAAAATTTGTTAGCCACTGTTAATTTTCCTGCTATTCAAGCATAAATTTATCGAAGCAAAAACGAGTTTTAGTATGTGCTTACTCTTACTTTAATTGACAGCTAATACTTGCTTTTAGTCAAGTGACACTCGTCTTCAGTCTAAGAAAGGAAATAAGAAAGGTACGCTGTTTTTTGCTTACTGAATTTTCTGCAGTTTACTTTATTGTTTTTACTCATTGTTCTGTAAGATAACTTTAACTGTAAAAAGTTATTAAACGAGATGAAAGAGAATGTTTAAGAAGGTTCTCTTTTTATCATATCAATCTTAACAGCTTTACTGGGGGAACTTACAATACCGATGCATCAATGTCTTCTCTATTTATTCTAAAATATTTAGGTAACGATGAAGATGATGATCTCGGTGATTCCGCTGCAGTTTTAAGCACCTCAGCCACAGTACTTTGGTTATTCCTTTTGCATTTCACATTTTACTGATGTAGTTTCTGTTGCCCTTCGAATCTCTGATGTTTATTTGAACTCGTAATAAGTTCAAGCTCGGGTAACCTTTTTTATTTTTTGTAAAAATAATTTTTCTAGTTGAGAGAATTAGTAGTTTTTATTTTCGAAGATATCTGTTGAAGTTCTGCGACATAAAGATTTCATGGTGAAAGTTGCTTTTCATTTTAATGTTCTTATAAACTGCAGTTGCTTTGTCGTATTTTTGAACAGATAATTTACTTGAATTGGTTGGTATTATTTGTTGTTTAATTATTTTCTTATTAAATAATTTTTTTTTATTCTACCTGCATTACAGTTTCAGTGTCATACAGATATTAAAGATATGTTTTATAAGTGCATTTTTACAATTATTACTGTTATATATCAAAGTGTCGTATTCAATCTAATTAATCAAGATGACTAAATCTTTTTAAAAAACTTGATAAAAAAGTATCCTTTTTGTAAGACTATTACTTAAATTAAGATAAGCTAGCAGTCAAGTTTTTAGCGACATAAATGACCAACTGTCTATTTAAGCATCATATTTTTTATAGGAATTCGTTAAGGTAGACTATGATTTGGAGTGTATATAAAAAAAGATGAAAAGTGTTGATTTGTTCAAGAAATATTAAATGAAAGTTTTAACGATAAAGAGGTGGTTAGTGGTAACAGCAGATTTTGTTGTCAGGTAAGTTTTAAGCCTGAATGAACATTGAAATGTACGACAAAAAATTGGGACAATTTGAGCGGATCTGTACGTTTTGTGGTACAGAATTTTGTGCCGATGATGTATGCTGCAAATGTTGAAGTGGACAGTAGTCTAACAGTTAAATAAAAAAGTTCAAAAAGTGTTAAATTTAGCGATATACTTGACCAACTATTTGGTATATACTGCCTGACCAATATATCAATAATAGAGTTTGTCTGAGCAGTAATAATACTGACCTAATAGTCGTTAATCACCAATTATTAAGAAGTAGAGTGAAGTTGAGTACAAGTATAGTTAAAACTGTTTTTTTTTTTTTTTTTT